TCCACTATCAGCACTAACGGACACATATGATGAGACTGGCACTCCGTGAACAGAGGAGTCCTCCAGTATGTAAGAAACACGAGCATTCTGGTTCCAGTCAGCGTCTGTGGCTTTCACTGTGAATATAGAGAGACCTGGTGTGTTGTTTTCTACAATGTAGGCCTCATATGAGCTGCTGTCAAAGACAGGYGGGTTGTCATTCACATCAGAGATGTGTAAGGTGAGAGTGACGCTGCTGGAGAGGGAGGGCACTCCTTCATCAGAGCAGCTCACTGTGATATTATACTCAGAGGCCCTCTCTCTGTCCAACTCGCTGTCTGTCACTAAACTGTAGAAATTATTTGAGGATGATTTTAAAGTGAATTCTCCATTTTCGCTAATAAAGCATTTTACTTTACCATTTTCTCCAACATCTTTGTCCTCAATATGTATCATTGTAACCACTGTKTTAAGTTTAGCATTCTCTGATATCACGTTAGACTTTGACACGATATTAATTTCAGGCCTATTATCATTTACATCCTGCAYATCAATTAATAATTTACAAGAATCTGTCAGACCGCCTTCATCACTTGTACGGACATCTATTTGAAAACTGCGTGATTCTTCAAAGTCAATGTTTCCAATTAATGAAATTTCACCATTTTCACTGTTTATCTTAAATACATTTCTAACATCATCTAGTGTGTTTGTAAATGAATAAGATATTTTACTGTTAGAACCTTCATCTGCATCTGAAGCTGAAACTGTAGCAACAACTGTCCCTTTAGAGGAGTTTTCAGTAACTGTAGCTTTGTATGTTTTCTGTGTAAAAACAGGAGCATTATCATTWRCRTCTAACACTGTAATAAYAATCTGCATGGTTCCTGACATCTGCGGCTCTCCTCCATCTACAGCTGTTAACACCAGATTTATCTGCTCCTGTTGTTCTCTGTCTAAAGRTTTCTGCAGCACCATCTCTATATTTATTTGACCATTTGCATTRTTCTGCAGCTTTAGAGCAAAGTTATCAGTTGGTTTTAATTCATACCTCTGAAGGTCATTAGTTCCAACATCCAGATCCACAGCTCTTTCCAGCACAAATTTGGATCCAATCACCGCTGATTCACTGATTTTAAATTCAGTTTTCTCTTTCTGGAATGTCGGTGCGTTGTCATTAATATCTGTGATCTGAACTGTAACACTGTAAAACTCCATCGGGTTTTCTAAAATGATCTGAAAATGTRAAGCACAGGGCGTCGTCTGTTTGCAGAGCGCCTCTCTGTCGATCCGTTCTTTAACCAGGAGGACTCCTCTGTCTCTGCTCAGCTCTATGTAATCTCCACTGTTTCGGGCATAAATGCGAGCCTTACCCGAGACAAAACGTTTAATATCCAAACCTAAATCCTGAGCTATGTTACCGACAAGAKATCCTGTGTTCATTTCTTCTGGTATCGTGTAGCTGATCTGTCCGTTTACGGAGGAAAAGAAAAAGAGGGTAAAACACAGCAGCATTTGTCCGTCCATTGTTCTATCCGAGTGGTCTCTCAGCGACGTTCCAAAATATGTATATTCATGCAAAACATAAAAAAAAAACAACCTTCCGACGTTTAGCTCTCTGTTTTACACGTATATATTCCACACAGCTAAGTTGTGATCCCAGATTTTCGTCTAAATTTCACAGAAKTACTGTGTGAGCTCTGTCGCCTTTATGCTCCGTCTTCATAATGTGGATGTTCCACAGGAGGTGCAGCTATTATATCCCACACATTCATTCACACGCTGGCCAACAGCGGCCCTAAGAGTTCATCTAACTACACTGCACAAAATCTGCACAATGTTTTATGTAACTTCGGAAAAAAAAACATAAAAAATGACCGTGATACCACCTGCAGTAAATTTACAGGTCTCTCAAACTACTGACGTTTTGTATTTGGTTGCGGCTTTTACATATAGGCCTAATCCAAAATGACCGAGGACATTGTGAAAATACGAGACACATGTCTTATCAAGAAATGGAACACTCTGGTAGTTTTCACTCTGTTAACTGCGAAGACATGTCACACAAAAAAACAAGAAAAATAATTAAAATTGTTCACAATAAGATAAAAAAACATGTTTCTGTCTAGTTTGCAAAAGTCTTAATGTCCTACAGGCAAAATCCTTAAAACACTCCACTTCAGAAGMCACACAAAAGTGTCCAAACTCCTTGAATTCATAACTAACAGAATATTTAGGACTTAAACAATTGTTAATGTTATGGGTTCAGTTGGAATTGACTGTTTTGCTGAGAAATAGAGGAAATAAAAAAAATCAGTTATGAGAGCAAGATGTGTAGAACTTACTAAATGGGCTTTAGAACGCAGCAGTTCACACTTATAAAAAATAAAGTCATAACTTTAAGGAGAATATAAAAAAGAGAATTTTTATCAACTTAAAATAGGTTTACAGAAAACCACATAAAATGTAGTTGTGAAACAATACGCCTGTCCCAGAGTAGTAGTTTAAAACAAACATGAACATTTCCTTTTTATGCTAAAATTATGTATAAAGAAAATTATTGTAAATAAAGTGTAGTAAAAAATGAAAAAAAAAAAGATGAAAAAGATAAAGGAAAAAGGAACGTTTAGAATGAACAGACACAAGGCTGTCGCTGTCCACGGTTCTGATTCTATKCTTTCAGAATGATTTAAAAAGTCGGGGGATGCTGAAAAAAGTAAACAACAGGTTCAAAACTATGTTTCTAAAAATTCAGTGGCAGAACTTTGTTCTAAACACGTGATTAGCTATAAATATATTAGGAAAAGGAATAAAATATGTCCTAAAATCATATTACCAGAAAAAGCAATGATATGCGTTTTTGTGGTTAGTCTATATAAAAACAAAACGGAAAAACAAAAAACCTAGAGCGACATTTGAAGGTGGAGGTGAAAAAAATTAAAATCATAAGATTTAAACACGGAAAAGTTTACTACCTAACCAAAAGAAAAACTAAACAATATATTTATACGTAAACTGGTAAAAGATAAAGTATGTATATATATATATATATAT